ACAGGAACTGTCTACAGCCAGCTCACTTATAGTAACTTCTTGAGATTGGCCCCTTCCACAAAGCACAGCTCAGGAGAAAACAGTGCAGGAAATTACCTTGTTTGAGGAAGGAACAGTAGAAACCAACTCCCACTTAATTTAGGTCTTGATGTATCTTGCACCATATTGGAGACCAAAATTATTTTCTACTTCCTCCCAAACTTTTGCTTTTGAAAGCAAAAGTTTCAAAATAGGTACCTTTTTGCTAAGTAGTTCATTTTGTTTTTGCCTTTGGGGAGTGCAATGATTTCCAGCAACCGCATGATGGCAGAAGAGCTCTCCCCTCCTAGAACAAGGTATTGAAAGTGGAGTGAAGGTCACTGTTACCAATTATTTCAAAGTGTTAAACTGCAGAACTACTTTCAAAAGCATGGAAAAAATGACCTGTGATTAGGCCTACATTAATGTGTAGATTTAGATCAATTGTCTTTGGTGAGAACATCCTCCAGAGAAATTGTGGTAACTCTTACTGGATTATAATTCAAGCAAATATATGTACAGTAGCATATATACGTTGACCACATATATAAGTTGAGGGCAGGTTTAGGATCAAAATTATGGACTTGGATAAGCCCCATTGATAATGCAGGGATTATTCTAGAGAGGGGAAAGCACTAGGTTTTCCTAGGATGGACCGAGTTCTCAGTGCATCATTGACATTCCCCTAAGATGGATAAAACTCTCACCTATTGCCAATACTCAGAGAAGGGAATAGTTCCTTTTTATAAGAGTTACTCTATTGTCATTACATTGACCTGTGGATACGTTGACCCAGTTTATTTGAGTCATTTTCTTTTACTATAATTTGTAGACATACATGAATTTATATGGTCAAACTTCACTGGGTTGTTATGTGAGTGTGTGTGTAAGCAAGTTTTCAAAATGGTAGAACTATGAAAAATCCCAGAACCTCTTATTCAACATGAGCCTTGCCAACAGCCAAAGGATTTGGCTAGAGGCAAGCATCTGAAGCCCTTGTGATGAGACTAGGAGGGAGGGGCCTGGGAAGGAGGTTATGCAGCTGGCCCCTCCCTCCTGCTTCAGTTGTTCATTCATTGATCATCACTCTCAGTCATCTTTTTCTCAGCACTCATAAAGAACCAGGTCAGACAGTTAAGGATTGTCTTTATATGAAGAAAGGTGTGAAGCTTTAAAGTCAGAAGCCCGTTATTCTTCCTGGCAATGCTGATTCAACAAATCATTAACAATTTCAGAGAAATAATTAGGCTCTATCTTATCAGATACAATGTGGAGATAACATTTAATGACCAGCCTTCGATCCCACAAGGTACATTTTCCAAAGTGGAGTAAAACGAAGACGAAATACAAGACCTGAGGCAAGTCTGATATCAGTAATGTTGTTGCAGGAGAAGAAGTAAGAGGTGGTGCCCCTTCCTTGTTCCACCTCTAGAAGGTGACCGGAATGACATTTGAATCTTTGATGCTGCTTCATCTATTTTGTGTTCATTTCCTAAGGGCAGCAGGCTTTCAGGAGGACCACTTATTTTAACAGAAAGAAAAACTAGTCCAGAAGGAAACACTGGTAGAATGATATTACAGCACCTCAGCATTGTTCATTCTGCCTAAAGCAGTGGTTCTCAATCTGTGGGTCCCCAGATGTTTTGGCCTTCAACTCCCAGAAATCCTAACAGCTGATAAACTAGCTGGGATTTCTGGGAGTTGTAGGCCAAAACATCTGGGAACCCACAGGTTGAGAACCACTGACCTAAAGGAAGAGCTGGCCTTCACATATGGTGAGCACCAGCAGATGAAATGGAACGGTTTTTGAGTTTTGGCCTGGAAAACTGGATATGCACCCATACTATAGAATTAATGCAGTCTGACACCACTTTATCTGCCATGGCTCAAGGTTATGGAATAATGGGAATTTGGTTTTACAAGATCTATAGCCTTCTCTACCAAACAGTGCTAGTATTTCATCAAACTACAAATCCGTGATTCAATAGCATTGAGCTATGGGAGTTAAAGTGGTATCAAGCTTCATTAATTCAAAAATGTAGATGTGTCCCACAACACCAAGGTTAAATCCCATGGGTCAATGCTATGGAATCATGGAAGTGGTAGTTTATATGATGTCTTTAGCCCTCTATGCCAAATGGTGCTGTTGCCTCGCCAAATTATAATTAAGGAAGAAGACAGTAGTAAAAAAAACTGGATCATTTAAATGTTTTAAAGCCTGGAGTTATCCTTTAAGGATACCTAGAAAATAGTTCTGTGTTGATAATAATTTTTCAGGGCATACATGACTTTACAAGGCATACATGAGTCACCTTTGTGGAGAGAAAAAATGAGGTATAAATAAACATAATAATAAACATCATCCTTGTCATCGTCATCATCATACATGATTTGAATACAATTAAATGCTTCATATACAAGCACTAAGATTTATTTCCTAACCATGGATTCAAAAATTATTCAAAAGAAAGGAAAAAGGAGAGAAAGGAAGGTACAGGATTTTTATTGCATGGTTCAAAGCTTGATTATGATAGACCTCAATGTTCTGTTCTGTAGGTATCACTGACATAATGGCAAATTCAGCTTCCCAAATTTGAATGTTTTTATACAAATCTATGGCATGTACACACCTGGGATACTGGGAAGACCACTGGTTATGTTATTGTACAGATTAAAAAGCAGCAGCAGCAGCAGCAACAGCAACAACAACAACAACAACAACAACAACAACAACAACAACAACAGACAGACAGACAGGAGCAGCTTCCCCCTAAAAATGTAATTACTGATCCTATAATTGTCCCTGTATCGTCCTGGTTCTCATTTGAAAATCACTACCGGTAATTTTAAGGCCTAAATTCTCCTCTGTGCCACACATAACACTCATGATTTTTTTCTACTTCTTTTTGTTGTTAGCTGCATTACTGCTGAGTCAGTAACGCACAAAGGTTGACTTCTCCCTTGAAGTTCCTTTTCAATTTTTTTTTTACTGTTCTCTACTCCACCAAAACGAATGAATGAATTTAATTATAGTCTCAGACCAGGATTTTGAAACGTTAAAATATCAAAATCAGAGGGTTTTTAAACATTAAAAGCAGAAGTTCAAATATTAAAAGCAGAGAGTCCAGGATAAGCAACTAATGCATTTGGCTTCATACATGACATTTAATTAAAATATGTGAATATAGATTGTCGAAGGCTTTCATGGCCGGAATCACTGGATTGTTGTAGGTTTTTTCGGGCTATATGGCCATGTTCTAGAGGCATTTTCTCCTGACGTTTCTAGAGGCATTTTCTTCTGACCTATGGCAAGCATCCTCAGAGGTAGTGATGTCTGTTGGAACTAGGAAAAAGGGTTTATATATCTGTGGAATGACCAGGGTGGGGCAAAGGACTCTTGTCTGTTGGGGCTGGGTGTGAATGTTTGAACTGATCACCTTGATTAGCATTTGATTGCCTGGCAGAGCCTGGAGCAATCTTTTGTTGAGAGGTGATTAGATGTCCTTGTTTGTTTCCTTTCTGTTGTTGTGCTATTCTAATTTTAGAGTTTTTTTTAATACTGGTAGCCAGATTTTGTTCATTTTCATGGTTTCCTCCTTTCTGTTGAAATTGACTACACAGAGAAGCCATTGAAATCCACAAGCATGTGGACATAAAAAATTACAAACATCAATTCAACAATTTATAAAGTTAAAATATCACATATTAATAATTAGAATAAATCAATTAAAAGACCTTTAAATAGCACAACACAGCACTGAAACTGTATCCTAGCCACTTTCTATAAGGCTTGTGGCAATTGAAAACAAGAATGCTTTCAATTTCTGACAGAAGATGAACAAGAACAGGGTTATTCTGGGGGGACATCAACAGTGTAGAATGAATTCAGTTTCATATCACTTTAACTGCCACTGCTCAATGGCATGGAATCATGGGAGTTATGGTTTCAGAGGGTATTTGGCTTTTTCTGCCAAGGAGTGTTGGTACCTCATCATAATACAGTTCCCATTATTCCATATCATTGAGCCATGACAATTGAAGCAGTTCCAAAGTGCATTCATTTTACAGTGTAGATGCACCCTTCGTGCACTAAGGAGTTCCAAAGACTTGGAGGAACCACTGAGAAGACCCTCTCTCTTGTTTCCACCAAACAAGCCTGGTGGAACAAAGAGGAGGCCCTCTTCAGATGATGGTAGAGCTCTAAAGGGCTCATATAATTCACAGTCCTAAAGCTACATAGGGATCATGAGTACAAAATAGTCATGAGTACATAACTATAGATTATGCATTTGTAACTGTCCAACAAGATTCCAGCCCCTGAATATGTATGTAAAGAATTTTCAGGAACATTTTGGTATATGTGAATACTGGCCCCCAAAGGCGTACAAATCCGACCAATGTGTTAGTCTTCCCAATATGTTTTCCCAATTGTTGGAAAACCGTATTTCAGTTGGGAAGTGAAATAACAGTCAGTCTTGTTTCCATCCCTAGTGTGCACACATGCTACATACATAGGGCCCTTCCACACAGCCATATAACTCAGAATATCAAGGCAGAACCCCCCCCCCCAATATCTGCTTTGAACTCGATTATCTGAGTCCACACTGCCATTTAACCTAGTTCAAAGTAGATAATGTGGGATTTTGTTCAGCTGTGTGGAAGAGGCCTTATTTACGATAGGAGTGTGCATGACTGCCATTCCAGTTCAGGTTCAAGAGGGTAAGGTTATGGTTGAGATCCATTTCCATGAACCTACTTCTCTCCCAGCTGATTTAAAGACTCAGATTTAATTTGATTCCCTTTTATGAGAACTTAAGCTGCCTAGCCAGACAGCAGAGGAAGTTCTTTTTTATGTGCCCACAGGTTCTTCCTCTTCTTTCAAATTAAGAACTTCATTATGTTACTGACTGCGGTAACTGAGGTAAGTAAAGCCAAGCTTGGTTGGGCTTCCTCTTCTTAACACGCAGTGTACTTTATTCATAGTCAGGCTAAAGAAGAGGGTATAGCTCTGAAGAAACCCTGTAAAACGTTGATCTGGAAGAAATTGCTATCTGCACATAAAATTGGTAAATTTATGAAACATTTTGGAGCTAACATTACTGGAATTTCTGAATAGATGATGCTTCTATCAGTACTGAATGTAAAATAAATATGCATTAGCTGTTAATGATAAGGTAAGTAAAAGTCATTTTGTTAGAGATGCTATAAAGACCTATTTGACTTCTGAATGATTATCAGTTATGATAGACTTTGTTTACAACAAATTCAACTTTTTTTCTTTGCTGAGAAATATTGATGGTCTGGAGATTTAGATGACTGTATTAAATCTTGCTAGGTCCTGCCAGTTTTATGAACCTTAATGTGCAATGGGAAATTACACTAGGTAACTAAATTTGAAATGTTTTCTGTTCCTGGTTTGAAAGTGTTATTCCTGTTTCATTGTCTGGTGCAGTAGAGTCTCGCTTATCCAACCTTCGCTTATACAACATTCTGTATTATCCAACGCAGTCTGCCTCCCACCTGGATTCACAGCTGTTTCAAAACATTGTGATGTTTTGGTGCTAAATTCATAAATACAGTAATTACTACATATTATTATCATGTATCGAACTGCCTTTTTCTGTCAATTTGTTGTAAAACATGTTTTGTTGCTTAATTTGTAAAATCATAACGTAATTTGACTCTTAATAGGCTTTTCCTTAATCCCTCCTTATTATCCAACATTTTCATTATCCAGTGTTCTGCCAGCCCCTTTATGTTGGATAAGCGAGACTTTAGTGTACTTACTTTGGAAGTAGTTGTTATAATAAAGAAACTTAATTTTTGTGGCCACCACATATTATGTTGAATTGGTTGAGACTCTGTGAGATATTCCTTGAAAAACTATAGCAAAATGAGCTGTAGGATGTCCGTAAAAACCAAAGGTTTTGCAGTTTAATAAACTTTTTCCATGTTTATTATAGAACCAATTAAAAATGACATTTATAATCTAGAAACAAAAATTGTGTTACATAATGTGTATCATGGACTTTGACTCTATCAAAGTTAGGTGTCATTATATAATTTTTGGGAAGATTGTAAAATTGACATTTAACATGAGCAGGAAATGGTGAAAATGCCAAATAAGGATAAAAAGTTAGAATAAATTTACTTTTGAATTATAGCAAAAGAGAATATAAGGTGGGGATTGGGGAGGCTAAGCTTTGACTGACTTCCACACATGCCATTGATAGTTAAACCTCACTTAAATTTATAAACATGAAGATCCAGCAATCAAACAAAATATAAAATGATTGCATTCATTTATAGAAATGTGTCCAGTTTTTGACATGTAAATTGTGGCAGTTGGGAACACACCCAGGAATGTTGTTCAGGGGGAACATGATATAAGGAAGCATTGCGGGAAGAATAAGCATTCTGTAGAGTTACTGTATTATGATCCCCCCCCCCCCTACACACACACAAAGAGGAATATAGCTAGAAAAAAGGATATGAAGTAGATGTAAATATTTGCTTAGAAATGATATTGGCATACAATGGCACCTTCCACACAGATGTATAAAATCCACACTGAACTGAATTATATGGCAGTGTGGACTCGGATAACTCAGTTCAAAGCAGATATTGTGAATTATTTGCCTTGATATTCTGGGTTATATGGCTGTGTGGAAGGGCTCAATATAGCTCATTATAGTAAGAGAAGAATGCCACCATGGAATGATTCACATTACTGAATTAATAGCATTATGCTTTCACTTAAACTGATATGGTTGTACTATGGAATCCTGAGATTTACAGTTGATTGAGGGACAATATTTAGTTTTTCCTTAGCTCCAGTGTCTCATCAAACTGCAAGACCCAGGATTCCATAGGACAAAACCATGTTAAAGTGGAATCATAACACTACAATGTGAATGCAATGTGAATGAGCCCCCATTACCTAAAGGCTGGCACAGGGTTCTGCTCACACAGCCACTGTTTACTGGCAACTGCTTTCCCTTTTGTGGCTCTTTATCTTTAAACCAGGGGCCCTTTCACACAACCCTATATCCCAGAAAATCAAGGCAGGAAATACCACAATATCTGTTTTGAACTGGGTTATCTGAATCCACACTGCCATATATTCCAGTTCAAAGCAGATAATGTGGGATTTTATTCAACTGTGTGGAAGGCGCCTGGATCTGGAGTAGACAACCTGTGACATAAAGGACTACGTTCTTATTAAATTACCCTACTCAGCCTGGCTGGTCGATGGCTGAGTAGGGTAAAGTGGAGCATGAGGTCTCCGGCGATGGGTTGGCAGATAATGTAAACCCACTTCTGCTTTTAGTCTGAATTTTAAAGAAAAGTGCCAAATTTATTTTGGTGTTTGGGCTCCAAATTTGGAATAGTTTAGTTCTGCAGGTTCACTGCCTCTGGAAATCCATACTCCAATGTACTTCAAATTCCCAAAATCTCTTTAATAGGCCAACCAAAATGGCACAACTTTTTTTCACAAGGTTTCAGAGCACGCATGGTTCTTCATTAAGCAAATGTGGATTAACAAAAAGCTTTCAGGGGAAGGCAGGGAGAAGAAAAGTGACAATGTTGTATGGTCTACGGGGGGGGGGGGGGGGGGGGGGGGACACTTCATAAAATTTGCTTTCATGCTCAAGAATGAATTGTTTTTAATTATTTCTCTCCTTGGAAGTCCTTGGAACCTGAAACTGTAATTTGGGATTTAATCTGGAATTTAAAAATCCACATAAAATGCTGACGAATGTCCTCTTTCACAGTAATGATATTGTTAGCAGGATTTTTAAAATCCTTACTGTTTGAGATTCACATTTACAGTCATGAGTGACCAAATGTTAACCCCAGATTGAACTGTGACGAAATTCTGTAAAGTGTAGCCAGTCATAGGGTGCTTTGGGACATGCAGTTGAGGAAGGTGCTGGAAGAGCTTCTCCAGTTGCTTGTTCTCTTGTACCGCAGAAAAGCTTCAATCAGGGCAACAGCAGATTGCAAAAATGGTGGTGGTAGGATTATTAGTAACTACGATGATCATGGAGCTCTGTCACCACAGTAGTGTTGCAAGAATTTGGCTTCTGATTTACTGTGAAATAATGTGTCTCTCTCCCCCCCCCCCCCCAAAAAAAAAAAACACCAGTGTGCATTTTTCATTTGGAACAATTCCTAAACTGCAAAAATAACTCTATTATTTTCACTTACAGTCTATGTAAAATGAGTAGGTTGTGTAGGCTACCAAAGTAATGTCATCAGTCTCCCCCTTCAGTGGCTATAAACTAATAGGGAACGAAGACATTAAAATAAAGGTAACCATATTTGGTTCTCCATTTGAAAATACAAAGGACCTCCTTGAAAATGCAAGCTTGTTTCTGTCCAACATGAAGCTGAGAGGCCTCTTTGTTGGAAAAGACTCATGAATTCCCCAAGAAGTCCCCGTGTTGTCAGAGCTGGTGATAACTATAGTCTATGAGACATGCAATACATTGGTGGGATTTGTAACCAACCATCTAGTTATCTCTCATTAGCATGGTGTTATGGGTTGAATGTTAGACTATGACTCTGGAAACCAAGATTTGAATCCTTCCTCAGCCAAGAAACCCACTGGCTAACTTTGGCCATGTCACACTCTATCAGCCTCATGGGAAGGTGATGGCAAATATTTCTAAGGCCCCTTCTACACTGCCCTATAAAATCCAATTTATATACTATGAACTGGATTATATAGCAGTGTGTACTCATGGAAATCAATGTCCAACAAGTAGACTGGTACCTCTCCTGTGAGTTGGGCAATGGGACTATTCTGGGTCCAGACTCTAAGGAACCATGCAAGATGGTTAATTTATTTTGTGGACTAAATTCATCACCTTGGATAGCTTCCTTAAAGTTAGGATTAAAACAATAGTATGGTCACCATTCCGCTGACAGGGAAGCCACCAGTCACCACTAAGTCCAATATTTGGCAGTCTGATGGTTCTTTACATATGGTTACAGGATTAGATATCACATTACAGTTTTATTGCTCTTCATCTCAAAAATCCTTCATGTTAATATTTCCATTTTTAGCATCCAGTTGAGACTGTTTTGCATTTTGTATATTCTGGAGTTCAGGCATGATGGTGATCATCTTTCTTTTTCATCTGCTTCTGATACATGGTGAGTAGCCAAAGGATGTATTTTTTTGCCCTACATGATGAATAGTCAAAAGATGTGCCTTTTTGCCTTTACTGTGCTATTCAATGGTACTCAAAATAGTGGTGAGAGGAAAAATCAGTTCCCAAACCTATCTTGATCCCATTGGGCAGTCAATGGCTTCCATTTCAGTTGAATGTTGGATCTGTTTCAGAACTTTAAACCAAAAATTTAAGGTGCTGAACCACCTCCCCAAAATGTTGAGCACCTTTGATAAACTTCATCACATGTGGAAATTTCCCCATCATACAACACTTTTACCACACTTCAGGATTGGAGAATGCAGGATCCCATCAAATGAGGTAGAACTACTTTTGGTGGGGCTTCATTCCCAAACTGTGTTGAAAGCGTCGTACAAGGGAACAATGAGAACATGGGAGACTTCCTGTATTCTCATTTCCTATGATGGGGTAAGTGCGAGGGGAAGCCGGAATGGGGAAGGCGGCACTGCAGATGATGTGGGGTGCAGGGTGTTGGATTCCCCCGCTGCCCACTGGATTCACCACATTTCCTGGCGAATCCCACTGTCGCCGCATTGAATATGATGAGGTCCTAAAAGCCCACTAAAAGGAAAACACCAGCTTCCGTGGCTTGTTCTCTGTGAGTATAGTTGTTTCATTTGCCTATTTTTTTTATCTGTATAACCCTCAAAAACTGCTAGTTGGGACTGAACATATCCTTGGTTCACTATATAGCAAGTATAATATTGGTAGTGGAAAATATCAATGAATTAATAGTCAGAGAAGTTGAGAAAGAAAGTGTAAAGGCAGAATTATGTGAAGATTTTCTATATCTTGGCTTAGGCATAGCTCAAAATGGAAACTATTGCCAAGAAATCAGATGAAGATCGGGATTTGGAAAGACAGCTATGAAGGAACCAGTTAAGAACTTTGAGAAGTAGAAAGAATATGCACAAACATTCAAAAGAGATCTCTTGAAATAAAATATCATGTTTCTTCAATGTTAGGAAACCCATATTGAAGAGAATCCTGGACTGATAGGAACCTCAATGGTTTAGGACTTATTCTGTCCAATATTTGCACTGTTTTGTGCAGAAAACAACAAACAGATTTCACACAAACCATATTTCCTGCATAGAAAATACTGTTTCCTGGATGTAGAAATCTCTTTTCAGGGCATGGTATAGGTGCAAATTTTGTGAAGAATAAATCTTGAATCATATAATTTCTGAACAAGAAATACTTTTTGTGCAGGAAACATTGTCCTATTTATGGATCACAATCGCAGACACATTACTCATTCCATTGCAATTCAGTTTTATGTACATCACATAGGTCAGAAATCTCTTCTGACCATGCAACAACCAAAGTTCCCCCCAAATGTGTGCTGCCTCCCCAACACAGCCATTTATATGTGGCTGGAGACAGTGGAATGCGTAGAGCCATGTCCAGCTCTTTTATTGCAACTGTAAGTACAGAGACAGGCACCTGAATGCAGGTTCACATTAGATCTTAACCATGTTATTTTCATATTATTTTGAATTGAATTGAGCTTTTGCCAGCGCTGAATCCTAGTGTGCCATGGGCCAAACTCCCATGCAGTTCAGAGCATCTTCAGCAAGAGATTCATAGCACACTTATCAGTTAATCTACCAGTGACCACTTACCCTTACATGTTGCTAAAGCTTTTTAGTTGCATTTGGTTTATTTGCATCTTATATATTCAAGAGAAAATAACATGATAATATTTGTCTTAAGAACTTAAGAAGATTTTCACCTTCTTCAAAATAGTTTCAGGTTCATTATATGGGCCACGGCTCATGATAAGTCATGTTGGAGGATCAGTGACAATCAAATGCTATTATTCAACCACAAGCGCCAATAAACATGACAGAAAATACTGGTGCAAGGAATCCAGCTTTTCTCGTGGGAGGTGCCAAGTGATTGTTTCAACAAATCATTTCACCCTTCAAGACTATGAAGGAAGAGTATCCATCAAGGATAGCCCTCATAACGGGCTTTTGCAAATAACAATGACACAGCTGAAAAGGAATGACTCCAGTAATTACAGATGTGGCATTGGCAAATCAACCCATGGTTTATTTGCTGGAGTGAATGTAACTATTTGGGAAGGTAAGCACCTGTTCAAAATGATGGGTTACTTTGTCACTTGCAGTGGTTAAATCTGTTAAACACAAAATTATTCAAAACATGTTGTGTCTAATTTCTTAAATTGTTATTTTTTTTACTTTATCCATTTTCACATAAGAGACACATTTCAGCTATATTTATTTATTTATTTATTTACAGTATTTATATTCCACCCTTCTCACCCCAAAGGGGACTCTGGGCAGACCACAGAATATACATATGTGGCAAACATTCAGTGCCATTTTATACACTACTAGACAGACATAAATAAGAGGTCTATATATCAGTTTCCCCCATATTTCAGCATCTTGGAAGTTGTTGTGCTTGGTTCCAGCCATGGCGGGGGGGAGGGGGGGAGAAGGTTGTTGTTGTTGTTGGTGCTATCACTCCATTTTTCTGCTGAAGAGTTAGTTCATAACTTCCTTCTTATGGATTGAATAGACGGCATTCCTTCTGGGTGCCAGCTATATCTAAGAATGTTTAAGCGCATTATGGTACAAATTATGCAAATGGAAGTATGACAATCTGGTTATATTTTACACAAACTGTATTATATATAGTTATTATTTTATACTGAATGAAATACTATTTCATCTAGTCTTCTTTCCAAATCTTGTGCCAGACCAGCTATTTCCCCGTGTTAATCATGATGTTAATAATATCAATGTTGCCTGTAGATTTTTGTTGTTTTTTTTAACCAGGGGAATCGGAAACTTGAAGACTGGACTTCAGTATAAGGTTGAAGTACAGGAGGTATTTGTTAATAAGTTACCCAAGAAGTTAGAGTTTCTGGATAACATGTCATATTATTATTAGAGTTGTATGTACAGAAATGGGAAATTAGTAATAGGTGTAATATTATTGGTTAAGAGCTTCAGATTTGAAACGGTGCTCTGAATAGATCAGGCATGAACAATGGATTTAAAATTATGCCCAGATATTTGCAAGAATATTTCAAATGATCCTTGAGTTAATATCTGTGATAGTAGCCTTAACACATTCACTCAGAACACTTTCTAGCAGAAATCAGGGTTGGTAAAGAATCAATTTCCAACTCTTTTTTATACAACTGCTCTCAATCAATCTTAAAAAATTGAGCTCTTTTAAAGCTAGGCTATCTGTTCTCAACATGTGGAGTCCCTGACAACTAAATAACATTTCAATTTCACTTAATGATACCGTTCAATGGACAAATAATCTGGCTTTTTGAAAGAAATTAAAGGCATGGTTTTGGGCCCAGGCTTTTGGGCAATAGATGCAAGCAGCACCTTAAAGGGATGTGACTGGAACGACAATATGGCTGACGAGACTGTTTTACTGTTTTGATGATGGCTTATGTATTGTTTATTTATGTTTTATATTTAATTGTGGTTTTAATTATTGTAATTGCTATGTAATGGCCTCGTAACAGGGCCCATTGTAAGCCGTCCTGAGTCCCCCTTCAGGGGTTGAGAAGGACAGGATAGAAATATGAGAAATAAATGAATAAATAAATAAGAAAGATAATTCATAAAATTATTAGAACTACCAAGAGATAAAGACTAAATTTATGTGCATTTGGATTGCACAAGTGTTTTCCTTCCTTCCCTCCTTCCTTTCTTCCTTTCTTCCTCTCTTCTTTCCTTACTCTTGTTGTATATTTGGTATAATGTTATGTCCTTAACTTTTTAAAACAAAATATTTTCATTTTTCTGTGAGTAATTTTGATTATCTAGCAGGGTGCAATTTTTCTTTTGTATATGTGTTTGGTGAAATATTAAAAAATGATGGTTGATTTTCCCCGAATAGGTTTAAATCTTCCTGAACCCCCCAAAATTATTTGGGGTAAACTGAGAGGGTCAGTGATGATCCAGTGTCCATCTGAAACTACTGGAGAGCTGTGCAAACTGAGCAAATTGGGCTGTTCTCCCATAAGAAAAATAAGCAAGGGCAGGATGAAACAGCTGGATGAAAGAATTACTTTCACTGTGATAGATATCTCAAAAACTTTCAACATCACTATAAATGAACTGAGAAAAGAAGACTCTGGAATCTATAAGTGTGGAACTGAAGTACCCAATGACTTTGGAAAAATGATACAACTTCAAGTCACAGAGGGTAAGCAAAGAAAGAAAATGATAGGAATACATGTAAAGATCCATAGTGCCCGAGGGAGGGAGGGAATGGTGCAGGGAGAGAAGAAAAATAAGACAAGAATATGAAATGGTTTCTTTCTTTTACTGCTCCACACTTTCTTCCCCCCATGCTTACAGATTCCATGGAACTAGCTCTAGGCACAAAAATTGCCTTAGCCACCCATCTGCATGAGATAAGAGGTGCTTAGTAGGCTTGTGAAATCCGGCTAAATCGCTATCTGTTTTGGTGTCCTGGATTTCGGCGGGGGTCCTGATCCATTTTTTTGGGAGCCACCCAAATTCAGGAGGACAGAAATCTATTTTTGATCTAGGAAGCTGAAATATTCGATTTCTATCTGGCCCATTATGGGAAGGGGGATATCCCAGGCTCCCCTTCCCTTCATTTTAGGCATCGTTTGCCTTTATATCCTTAATTAAGACCTGGATTAAAAGCCGAACAAGTTGAAGGCAAATGTCCAAATCCAATCCATACTCAAGTTTAGTGCTTATTTTGAGTAATGAGACTACATCCAAAGGGTTGTTCAGCCTCCATGATGGCTTGGTAGCCAAAAGATATGTGTTCCTCTTATGGATCTTAGCACCAAACTTCAGCTCACATTTTCTCTAAGATTTATCACATAACAGGTGACCCCTTCAACTTTGAAGGATTCAAAACCAGTAGCTATTTCTTATCTTAATTATCCATCTCTAACAGTGACCAGTACTCTAAGTTTAAACTAATTCAATTCTTCTTAAGTTAGATGCACGAGGAGTACTCTCCATGGTGCTGATCAGAGGTGTTCAGTTGATGTTGATTTTACCATCTTAAATCAGTCCACAATAGCTAATTGGATTAATATCCAATAGAGAAGCCAGACCCTTATTTGAAAAAAAAAGTGTATACCATGCTTGGGCATAGTTGGTTCAGTTGTCCATTTCAAAGACCGAATATTACATTTATTTATTTATTTATTTATTTACTTTACTTGTATACCGCAGTTTCTCAGCCTAACAGGCGACTCAACGCGGTTTACAACAAAGGTACAACAGTCAACGATATACAATTTAAAACCATAAACGCATAATACACAGTATTGACACAACAATAACAACCCAATGCATCTCATGACTAAAATCGTGATCCAGTTCGTCGTCCATATTACCATTCCTGTAATCATCACATTCATTGCACCGATTAACCAAATGCCTGTTCGAACANTCCTCTGGACACATTCCAGCTTGTCAATATCTCTCTGCAATTGTGGTGCCCAGAATTGGACACAATATTCCAAAATCTCCTCTTGGAGATGGATGGGGTGGCTGGAGGCATTTTGTGCCATATGTAAGCCAACTCAAGTCCCTTCAGGGAGATGGAGGCAGGGTACAAAATAAAGTTGTTGTTCTTGTTCTTGTTGTTCTTGTTGTTGTCGTCATCATCACCATCATTATCATCTTCACCTCAGAGAGGTAGCTGGCCAATTTAAGCCTAGAATTGGTCTTTTAAAGAATAGAAAATGCACAATAAATTGATTATGTTCAAGTCTTGTTAATGGCCCACGTAAGCTAAAACATGGTGATGATGCTTCCAGTGTTATCTAAAAGAGTGTCTGAGAACCTTTGGGAAACACCCATTTTGTATTTCGTTTGCAGAGGAGGCTGATCCTTTAATGGTTTCCTGAGAAGTCAGAGCATCTCCCAGTCTTCCATGCTGGCTCACTCATTTATTATGTTCTTAATTCTATAAACCCAGACATTTCCATAGGTACGTTGTGCATCTACACTGTAGAACAAATGCAGTTTGACACCACTTCTGCTGCCAGGGTTCAATGCTATAGAATCCCGGGTACTGTCATTTTCCAAGGTCTTTAGCCTTCTCTCCCCAACTACAACTCCCCAAATTCCATAGCACTGAGTCCTGTTAAAATGGAGTCAAACTGCATTTATTCTACAGTGTAGATGTGTCTGTAGGTAGAGATATAATCCAAGATCTTATATTTCAATTGCTACGTATATCGCCATTTGGGAATATGCACATTGATTGTGCTGCTGAATGCTTGGTCAAATGGCAATGCAGTGGGCATTAATATAAATGTATCTGAGTGCACAAATGAATATGGAGCAACTGAATGCACAACCAAATATGCCTTCAGATGGTTCAGATGGAAAGTGCTAACTCCTTTCGTAAGAAAGTTTACACTTTTAAAGTCTCCAATATGATTTCACCCTATTTCCAAGTTTCTTATCTCCTTCTGGGCTGCTTCTTCCATGGATTGCCTTTGACTTGCAACATGTGCTGCTACCTAGCTTGGTTTTAATGTGTTTAGACAGTAAATAATATTTTTGTCCTGTCTCACATTTGAAAATATTTCATTTTTACATGAATTTTGTATACATTATTCCATGATCTATACACTGCCATATAATGCAGTTTGGAACATCAGTATATGGTCAGTGTAGACTCATGTATGATAAGAAACAAATTCTTATCATGTATGATAAGAAACAAATTGGTATGATAAGAAACAAAGATGGCAGGGACCTAACAGAAGCTGAAGAGATCAAGAGAAGGTGGCGAGACTATACAGAAGATCTGTATAGGAAGGATAATAATATTGAGGATAGTTTTCACGGTGTGGTGAATGAATTAGAACCAGACATCCTGAGGAGTGAGGTTGAATGGGCCTTAAGAAGCATTGCTAACAACAAGGCAGCAGGAGACGACGGGATCCCAGCTGAACTGTTTAAAATCTTAAAAGATGATGCTGTCAAGGTGATGCATGCCATTTGCCAGCAAATATGGAAAACACAAGAATGGCCATCAGACTGGAAAAAATCAACTTATATCCCCATACCAAAAAAGGGAAATGCGAAAGACTGCTCAAACTTCCGTACAGTGGCCCTTATTTCTCATGCCAGTAAGGTAATGCTCACGATCCTGCAAGGAAGACTCCAGCAATACATGGAGCAAGAGCTGCCAGATGTTCAAGCTGGGTTTAGAAAAGGGAGAGGAACGAGAGACCAAATTGCCAATATCCGCTGGATAA